CAAATAGAAAAATATAATTATAATATAATGAGAAATAACACTACTTATATTATATGCTTACATGGTGGAGGGCCCTTTCATTACTGTTTTTTTGAAATACGTTTTCACACGATCTGCTTTACGGAGTGGAAGGGAATGGCAGGAAGAAGAAAACGTTTTGCAAAAATGTTCAGGCTTCGGCCTTAGAAAATGAAAGGCTTTTTTACAATTCCTGTTTCGCTATAGTTCGGTAATCACAATTACCCAATCATTCAGTTTTTTCGTAACGTCTTTTAATGGAATTCGGCTAAAAAGTCAAACCATATCTTCAATGATTCTGGATTTAAAAATGGTCAACTGGATGAGGATATATAGCTTATTTTTATTTGCTTATTTTTCGGATCAAACGGTMATTCAGGCTGATGAAGATCGATGAATTCGAACAAAACGTCGTGCTTCCGTTTCAATTGTTTCCCCTGAGTATTTCATTTTTCATATTTTATTTGCAGCGGAAATCGTTATACAGCGCGACTTCTTCATTTGTTTGGATTTTTTTCTTTCCTTTGATCTGATGAGGGGCGGAGCTTTTCATAAACTCGTTCAGACATTGGCTAAGTGTAACAAGCTCCGCCCCAAAGCACAAATTCCAACTACTATTTCCTTTGAACATTGCAGTCGCAATGCAGCGGTTTCTGCTGTAAAACTATTTAAATGACTGGATGATTAATTTATATTTAGATATCAGCTGGTATACTACCACCTACGCGCTTGAAAATTAAATATTCACGAGAAAATTGAGAAAAACTTCAGGTGTAAATTTCTCGTGATGCAAACTTCACATCTACGATCACATTTTCTTTTTTGTTCTTTCAAAGTAGTATCAACGCACGTTGTGATTGGTTGAAAATTACACTGGACATTTACTGGTATTGTACGCTCTACTACTGACATTTTTCTAACTGTTTTACTACATACTGTTTTACTACATCCTTCCATAGAGAAAACTGCAAAAATATGCCATTTAAATGCCAGGTCAGTGTGTAATAAACCTACAGTTATAAATGATTTTACAGTTGAAAACAGTATTGACATCTTATGTTTAACTGAAACCTGGTTAAAAAGTAATTCACAAGAAGTTATAAATGAGTTGACACCTAAAGGATATATTTTCCACCATATCTCTAGAAAAACAAGAGGTGGTGGCGTTGGAATTC